GGTTAAAAATTTTCCCCATCTTTCCTGGGTTTTTTTTTTTTTTTTTTTTTTTAAAGACAGGATCTCCCTGTACAGTTCAGGTTGACCTTGAACTTTTGATCCTCCTGCCTCAGCTTCCCCAGAACTGAGATTTCTGGTGTGTGCCACCATACCCAACTATTTTGGTTTAGAATCAGATGTGTATAACCCGTGTGAGTTCTAGGATAGCCATGAATGAGACCAATACATTTGTAGACTACAACACCATGTTACAATCTCAAAAGATTGTATACCTTGGTATCCAATTTTAAAAAAACAAAAAACTGAAACTTTCTTAAGGAAATATAAGGCTCTGGAGACTGTTGGGGTCCACTGTGGAGTCATGAAGTTTGATAAAGATTGATTGCTCCATGACATCCTAGGTAAGAGCCCTGTGATGAAGGAAAAGCCAGATGCACAGAGCCTCCACCCACAGCAATTTCTGTCTGCTGGCAGCAAGGACTCCTGCTGTAGTGAAGGAGAGTACCATGTGGGAGAAACAGACTATGTCAAAGATACACCCCACCCTATGGAAGAGGGTTGTTTCTTACCTCTGAAATTTCAGACCCATCTTATTGGCCAGGGCATGGAGCAGCAACACTGTCTGGCCCCAAGCAGCATTGATCTCATTCCATTCCACAGGAACACTGGGCAAGCGACCCAGTCTGAAGTTATTAATTGTGCCAAACTGTCCACTGTGCCTAGAGATGAAGGCAAAAGTGGTGGTGGTGATTCAGACATTATAACTTTTAAGATTTCCTACTTTCACTCAAAACCTAGCATTAATCTCTCTCCTTATCTTCAGATTCATTTAACTAAGCTCTACCTGTCATTTTAAATGAATGCCCAAAACCTGAGGTATCTATCATCTTTCCCCCTTTGCTAAGATGTCAATGTAGAACTCTGAGGGTCATCTTTCAAAACTATCAGCCCCCTCTCCTCCCCAAAAACAAAACCAAACAAACCACCGCCAATACCTCCACTAAACTCCACAGATTCTGCTTCCCACCTCTCTTCAATCTGTCTACTTCTCTCCAACTCAATGCTGCTCCTCTTTTCCTGTTCAGATTCCTACGAACAAACCTCCTTAACTTGCCAGGGGAGGTGACACGAGCCATTAATCCTGACACTTAGGAGGCAGAAACAGGAGGATCTCTGAGATCGAGGTCAGCCTAGTCTACATAGCGAGTTCCAGCCCAGCTGAGGCTAATCAAAGAACAAAACAAAACAAAAACAAAAAACCTCCTTAACTTTCTTTCCCAACCATTCACAAATTCAAAATGTGCTTGTGTCATTTCTTTGCCTGAAATGTTGCACTTGCTCCCTCAGCCTTTTGGGTCAATTCCAACCCCTTAATAAGGCCCACAAGATCCTTAGGAACTGGTAGGTCTCCAGTTTCATATCCGGTCACTCGCCCCTTTACACTCAATCTTCAGTCACAATAAGATCTTTCAGTTCTCTCAATTCACCACTCCCTCGTTCCCATTTCTTTGCACATGATGTTCTCTCTGCCAGGAACAACTCCTCCTCTGTAGACATCTACTTCACCTCTCAGCCTGAATGCCAACCTTCTCTGGGGAGAATTTTCCATGTGGCCTCCCAAAACTGGGAAAGTGCCCTTATGTGTTCTCACAGCACCTTGGGTCCACCATTATCACACTGTGTTACACTTGCCTATTACTTATTCCTCCCCTAGACTATAAGCAACCGGCAGACTGTATGGTTTGTGCTGTGGCCCTCCTGAGGCTTACCACAGTGCCTTCCACACAGCAGACACACTAAATGGATAAACATCAAATAAACACATGAACACACCGGGGTTAAGAAACCAGCCCCAGGCAGCTGACCACGTTTGCACATAGCAGGAGGGTCATTCTTTTCCCTTTCCTTGGTAGGCAGGTATCACCAAATTTTAGAATTTTAACCCTCTACCCTATCATGAGGGAAGACAGAAACCTGGCTTTGGTGAAGATGACCTACAGGCCTTCTTCTATGGGGAGGTGGCGACCCTGGAATGTTGACAACAGCTAAGGTCCAGATCTGAAGTGTTCCCCGGATGTGCTCCCCGCAGCCCCCATTACCAGATATGGAAGGTCGCATTAAAGACGTTGGTTTTCTTCAGCTTGTCCAGCTGCATCTGGGCATACCGCATCTGGTTTTCTACACTCTTCAGCTCATCATCCAGCTCTAGCTGTTGCCTTTTAAATTCACTATATTCCCTTTGATACCTGTGAGCAGTCAAGGGAACCATAAGAAGGCTATGAGTTCAGGGATGGAGGTTTCTTTCTATGCCTTTGAATGATTTACTCTAGTGAATATGGTTAAATCTAATCATAGAACTCTATATTTGGTATTGATTCCTCCCAGAGGAACATGGATACCTCAGATGTTTTGCCTATGAGGCACAAAAAAAAAATGTCTCAAATTCTAGTTACCTACATTAAAAAAGATAGAGGAAAAAAGAATTCTTCTGACTATGACAAAAAAAATTGTGTCTCTGATTATTTTTTCAGAACTGAAGTGAACAAATGATTTTTTTCTTTCTAAAAATTTTTTTAAGAAATTTATTTTTATTTTATGTGTATGTGTGTTATGCCTGCATGTTTGTAAGTCCGTCCATGTTGTGCAGTGCCTGTGGAGGATAGAAGAGGGTGTCGGATTCCCTGGAACCAGAGTTCTGGATAGCTGTTAGACACCATGTGGGTGCTGGGATTCGAACTTGGGTACTCTACAAGAACAGCCAGTGCTCTTAACCACTGAGCCATCTCTCCAGTTCCTTTTCTTTCTTAAAATTACATTTATTTGTGTATGTATGTATGTGTCAAAGGAGGTCAGAGGACAACTTGTGGGAGCTGGTTCTCTTCTTCTACCATGTGGGTCCCAGAGACTGAATTCAGGTGGTCAGGCCCAGTCGCAAGTGCCTTATCTGACTGAGCCATTTCACTCTGAACCGAGAATGGTTTTTCAATGACTTGGCAATGATAACTGGCCTTTATAACATACATAGATAATGGCTTCACAGTGGCTTCCTCTTCCAGGGCAAAGCCAACACTAGAGAACCCTGGAGCCAGCACTCTATTTAAATAACATCCTTTCTTCACTTGATCATGCCGAGTCTTTATCCAAAACCCTCCCATTCCTCTGGAAAAAGGGCCCAGAAACAACATGTAGGATTTGGAGCAGACATGCTGCTGACTGACAGCTGAACTAATCAGACACATTCAGTTGAAAACCACTCCCTCTCCTGGTGCCTAGAGGCAGGAAGGCAGAAGAGTAGGGTGAGCACTCACTGAGCTTCCTCCTGATCCAGTCTCTCGGACTCAGCCTGGACCTTCTCCAGGTTTTCTGCCACTACCTTGCGGTTCTTTTCCACATCTTCCAGCTCCTGGATCAGCCTCTCTTCCTCTAATGCCAGCTCTTTCAGCTCCCTCTGTAGCTGCTCAGTGTCATCCTCATTCATTTGCTCCAGGATTTCCAAACAGCGCCTGCCAAAGATACAAACACAGCATACTTACTAAAGGAGGGTACCTCTTGATTTATGTGCCTGACAGGAACAGAACTCTTGAGAAAGGGCCAAGCAGTCTCCCAGACCCCAGCTCTGGGGGTACTCACTTGTAGTTCTGACACTCATTTTCAGTGACATTGAGCTGAGTGTCCAGCTGGTCTAAAAGAGTATCAGTGCATTCCTCACACAGTGGGTGATCCACATCTGTCTGGCCCGACATGATGTCAAAAAGGTCCCCAGTGACCTAGCATGGGACAATCAGAATAGGGCCTCTCCTGAGCTACCTGCCCAGCTACCTATAACAACCAGGCATACTTCACAATGAAATGAGACCGACTTGCCTTGAGTCTTCGGCTGAGGTTCTCCATGGTGCCACCATCAGATGCCTCCCCGATCAGAGTGAAGCTGTTAGCACTTTCTGTAGACATCATCCTGCAGATAGCCCCCCGCCCATGGGCCACATGAGGGAGCAGACAGGCCTCCTCCACCTTCTGTGCTGCCAGTGGCAGAGACTCTCAAGTACTGGCTGAGGGGCCTCAAGGTATACACCCATTCCTAGCCCGACTGACCTCCCAAGGGTACCTCTCTCCCAAGGGAAGGCCATGCTGGTCTTCCACAGGGGCACTCAGCAAGAGGTTGGCCTGGATGGACTAAGGAGGGAATGGGGACATAAAAAATTGATATGTATGTCTATAGCAAAAAGGACACTCAAGAACGACAATTATTTTAAATATTATACGCTTTGATAGTAACTTTTACCTGTTGCATTAAGAACGAAGACCCTGAACAGTACTATTAAAAAATTTCTCATGAGCCCATCTCAGTCAATCACTCCCTGAAAATCTCTCGATCTTCGTTAGAACTACTAACCCTTCCCACTGTGTGAATGGTTACAGTAAAAAAATAAATAAATAAAAATCAATGTCTAAAGGTGATGGGCCAGGTATAAGGGAATACATTTTTCTTATGAGAGCCCACAGGCTAGGTGACGATTCATCTACATCACCTGGTCCTAGTCCTAATTCCTAGGTTCAGTGAAAAATCCCTTGGCCTTTGGCAAGAAACAGGGGGCTGAGGAATAGTAAGCACCTGGCTGGGGGGATGAATCTGCGAGAGACACCATCCTGTCGGGTTTCAATAAATGGCTCCTGGGAAAGAAACAAGAGGGCATTAGAACTCTGGCAGCTTAGAGTGGAGTCTACTTCCCACACAGCCGGAGAACTATTTAGCTTTATCCTTAATTGATAATCAGAATAGTTAATAAACCAGAGAGACCTCAGAAATAGGTATTATCTAGACTGGGGATGGCTCAGTAGATAAAGTGCTTGCTATGCAAGCACGAGGACCAGTGTTCAGATCTGCAGCACCCACATTAAAAATGCTGGGTGAGGTGGGGTGTGCCTGTAATCCCAGGGCTAGGAGGAACAGTTTTTAATCCCCTGGGAGTGTACTCAGCCAGCGAGCCAGCCAAACCTAATCTGTAAGCTCCAGATTCAAGTCCAAGTTCAAGGAGAGACTCTCAAAAAATAAGTTGGAGACACAAACCCACATTCACTTCTGGCCTTCACTGGGGCTCACACACACAAGAAATGGGTATTATATAGTGAATCTTTGCATATATGAACAAAGAAAGAACCCATGGCACATTTGACAACTTCTAAATCTCAATTTGATTATTACTTTTCTTGGTGGGGAACAGCATTTCCTAATTAAGCTATATGGTTAAATTTGCACTTTCTTAACACTTAGCAGAATGCCCTAAATCATGGTACAAGGAAAAAGGTAGGCCAGACTGCAATGAAGCTTGCTAGAGCACAAAATGGATCATTCATGTTTTCTTTTTCTTTCTTTTTAGAAAGAAAACAAGTTTATTATACTAAACAAACTACATCGACTTTAAAGAAAGCAGTGGGCATGCCAGTAATAGAACTGTGTGCCTATCTTCAACATTTTCATAAAATTTCTGTGTTCAACATCTTGTGACATCACTGGCTTCACCTGCCAGTCCCTTATGCTTCTCTGCAGAAGGTTCTCTGGCTCCTGTCCCTACACTGCCAGTAGAGTATGTGGCTGAATTAACCCCACTTAAAATATGCTTTCATCTATGACAGACAGTTAAGTAGATAAATACCCCAGTTTATTATTCAGGCAGGAAAAATCTCAGGGGTAAAGTCAATGCTCTCTAACAAGATGCTGCTCCGTAAGGTGGAGCTCCAGATGCCTACTGCTGCTTGTTAGTGACCTGAGCAGGTTGCTGTCTTTCCATCTCACATCTCTGCTTCCCACTAGAGCTTTCTGGGATCCTCTGCTAAATAAATAACTTATACAACAAATGGCTCCCTCCCCATCTAGAAACAAACAAAAAAATCCCACAATTTATGACCTCTATCCTTGGCCATTAAAATTATCTCTATTATTATTGTTGTTGTTATGCAGTGCTGGGGATTGAATCCAGGGCCTTGCTTATGTAAGGCAAAGCCTCTACCACTGAACTACATTCCTAGCATGATTACAAAATACTAGAATTTTAAAATGTCATGGGGCTGGAGAGATGGCTCAGTGGTTAACTGTACTGGCTGCTCTTGCAGAAGACTTGGGTTCAAATCTCAGCACTCACATGGAAGCTAACAACTGTCCATAACTCCAGTTCCAGGGGATCCAATGCCCTCTTCTGTCCTCAGTGGGCACTGCATGACCCAGGTGTACTTACATACAGGAAGACAATACATGCATACACATAAGATAAAATTTTTTTTAAAAAGTCATGTTCTCTAAAACTGGTAATCTATGGTAAATATACAATTCATTGTCCAAACCAAGGAAATTTTGTGAATGGAGAATAGAGATGAACAACTATCTAGAATAAAAAATAAAACCTGGAGGGGGGGCTGGAGAGATAGCTCAGCAGTTAAGAACACTGGTTGTTCTTACAGAAGACCTGGGTTTGAATCCCAGCACCCACATGACAGCTAACAACTGTCTGTAACTACAGTCCAAGGGATCTGACAGCCTCTTCTGACCTTCACAGGCATTGCACGACACAGGTGTACTTACCTACATGCAGGCAATACACGCATACACATAAAATTTAAAAAATAAATTAAAAACAAAAAAACAACCTGGGGCCAGCGTGGTGGCACATACCCTTAATCCTAGCACCTGGGAGGCAGAGGCAGGTCGATCTCTGAGTTCAAGGCCAGCTGTGGCTATGGGGAGATCCTGTCTCAAAAAACCAAACCTAATCAAAGCAAAACGAACCAGGAATTCCTGGAGCAACCTGAATATATAAACCATCTCATTATATCTTTTTAAATACTTTTTTTTTTTTTTTTTTTTTTTTTTCTTTTTTTGGTCTCCCTGTATGTAGCCCCAGCTGACCTGGAACTCACTATGTATACCAGGCTGGCCCTGAACTCACAGAGAGATCCACCTGCCTCTGCCTCCCTGAGTGCTGGGATTAAAGGCGTGCATCATCACACCTGGCCTAAATTGCATTTTTAAATCTGTTTATTTGTGTACATGGAGGTCAGAGAACAACCTGCAGGAATGAATTCTCTCCTTCCAGTGTGTGGGTTTCAAGGACTGGACTCAAGGTGTCAGGCTCTAAGCTCAGGGTGCCTGGAAACTCACAAAAATCCTCGTGCTTTAGTCTCCCAAGTATCTAAGATTGCAGAATGAGCAGTCATGCCAGGCCACAATCAGTTTTTTGTTGATTTGTTTTAAGCATTTATTCATTGTGTGCGCATGCGTGTATGTTTATGTGTCCCTGTCTACCAAGACTTGTGTGGGGGTCAGAGGACAACCTGTAGGAACCAGGTATTTCCTTCCACCATGCAGGCTCCAGGGATCAGACCCAGGTTGTCAGGTTTGGAAGAAAGAACACTCACCCACTGAGACATCTTGCTGGCCCTATAATCACATTTTTTAAATGAATGCTTTATTCAGTAACGCTGTAACTTGAGGTATACCTCCAATGACCTACAGTGCACTGACCGACCATGTACAATTCTTTCTTTTTTTGCAGTTCTGGGAATTGAACCCAGGGCCTTGCACCACATATTGGGCAAGCACCACCCCTGAGCCACAACCCATTCCTCCTCAATTTTTTTTCCTTTATTTTTCTTTCTTTTTGTGGTAGATTATCATGTATACTAGGCTGACATCAAACTTGCCATACAGCCAAAAATGATCTTGACCTTCTAATCCTCCTGCCTCTACGCTGTTTAATGAAGTACTAGAAATCAAACCCAGGGCTCTATGTATTCTAGGCAAGCACTCTACAAGGTGAGCTATATCCCCAGCTGGGTTTTGATTTTTTTAAATTACATTTATTTTGTGTGCATGCATGTGCCACAGAGTGCATGTAGAAGTCACAGGAGAACATGAAGGAGTTGGTTCTCTCCTTCTACCATATGGGTCTTGGGGATTGATCTCAAGTCAGGTAAGCAGGTAAAGAAATTTACCTGCTCAGCCATCTCACCAGCCCTTGTTTTGTTTATGAGACAAAGTTGGTTTTTTTCTGTCTTTTTGAAACAGGGAAGCCCTGAGCCCCAGCTGGCCTGGAACTCACTAGGTAGACCAGGCTGGCCTTGAACTCAGAGATCCGCCTGCCTCTGCCTCCCAAGTGCTGGGACTACAGGCGTGCATTTCCATGCTCAGCTTTGTTTCTGAGAAAGTTTTACTGTGTATTTTGGGCTGGTCTGGAACTCACTGTGTAGCCAAGGTTGGCCTCAAACTTGTGATCCTCCTGCCTCAGCCTGCCAAGTGTTAGGATTACGGTGTGCAATACCCTGTCTGGCTAGAATATCTGTTGGTAATCACCCTTTAATAACCCCTAAAGTCTGGAGGCACCAAGTACCCTGTAAAAATCCAGTCTGTATTCTGGTGTTTTTCTATCAAGCTCCCATTTAGCATATTATGAAGAGGATGGGGAGAGGGCACTTCTTTTACCTCTCCTGAGTTAGCCTCTTCCTCCTGGGTCTCTCCTGGTTTCGCCTGGGTTGTGGTAAGTAATGGAGCTAAGGGCAAGGAAAAATCTAGAATCAGAAACAGTCTTATCAAAGCAAGAGGGCTTTATCAAAGTATGGGAAAAGAATCTGAAATAGCCTCATCACCAGCCCCACCACAATTTTTTTTTACTTCTTTACCCAAAAAAAATCTGTAGTCTTTCCCCCCTCCCTGTTAAGGAGTACTTATTCTTTTTTAAAAAAAAATAAGTAAATATTTACAGTCTTTATGTGCTTCCAAATAATTCAGGGTAGGAAGAAGTAGATGGGTCTATAGACAAAAATGTGATAAATGTGGTGGCAACTGTTGAAACTAGGTGAGGGCACCCAGGGATTCATTCCATACTAGAGAATTCCATCATGACTGGGCCTATTGACACGCCTTTAATCCCAACACTCAGGAGGCAAAGACAGGTGGATTTCTCTGAGTTCAAGGCCAGCCCAAGCTACATAGTAGAGCCAGGCATAGTGGTGTATGCCTATAATCCTAGTGCTTTGGAGGCTGGGACAATATAATCATGTGTTCTAAGCCATCCTGGGCTAAATAGTGAGACCCTGTCCCAAAAGACAAAGGAATAACAACAACAAAAGTATAGCTAATATATATATATATGCATTGGAAACCTAATCTGCTATTAAAAAAATTAAGGATGAAATCCTATCATTTTAGACTGAAGGATATATGTTAAATGAAATTACCCAGACACAGAAGATAAATGCAGAACAATTTCATTCATATGTGAAATTTAAAAAGGCTGATCTCATATATACTGATAGCAGAATGGTGGTTATTCGGGGTGACAGGTGGTGGGAGAGATGGGTAGTAAAGGTCAGTGGAACAGTTAGGAAAAATAAGTTCTGGTGTTCTGTTGTAGTGATGACTACAGGGAACAATAACATACTGCATATCCCAAAAAGCTAAGAGAGAGGTCTGTTTTCACAAGGAAATGATAAATGTTGGATGAGAAAGAAGTGTTTATCATGGTTTGAACATAATACAATATATACAGGTATTCAGACATCAAATGGTGCCCCTAAATATATCAGTTTTAAAAATGTATAAAGTTTGGGCCAGGCATGGTGGTGCACACCTTTAATCCCAGCACTTGGGAGACAGAGGCAGGTGGATCTTTGTGAGTTCTAGGCCAGCCTGGTCTATATAGTGAGTTCCAGGACAGCTGGGGCTACAAGGAGACCCTGTCTCAAAAAAAGACCAAAAAATAAAAAAATAAATAGTATAAAGCTGGCTAAAGAGATGGGTCAGCAGTTAACAGCACTTGCTACTCTTACAGAGGACTAGGTTCAGTTTCCAGCACCCACATGGCAGTTCACAACTATCTGTAACTCCAATTCCAAGGGCTCTGAAACCTTCCTTGATCACCAGGCATACAACTGGTGCACATACATTCATGTAAGCAAACACTCCAATGCATTAAATAAATCTTTTCTTAAAAAAAGGGTGTGGTGGTACACAGATAAGCCAGGTGTGGTGGCAGGCAGAGCTCTGTGAGTTCAAGGCCAGCCTGGTCTACATAGCGAGTTCCAGGCCAGCTGGGGCTACAGGGAAACCCTGTCTCAAAAATACCAAAAAAAAAAAAAAAAAAAAAAAGACCAAAAATAAATAAATAAAAACAAATAGGATCCAGAGAGAGAGGTCGGTGGCTCATGCCCACAGTTCTGCCAGGCATGGTGGTACACACCTTTATCCCAGCACTATAGAAGCAGAGGCAAGCAGATCCCTGTGAATTCAAGGCCAGCCTGGTTCACATACTGAGTTCCAGGCCAGGTGGGCTATAGGGAGACGCTGTCTCAAAAAGACCAAAAAAAGCCAGGCATGGTAGCACATGCCTTTAATCCCAGTATTCGGGAGGCAGAGGCAGGCGGATCTCTGTGAGTTCAAGGCCAGCCTGGTCTACAAAGTGAGTTCCAGGACAGCTGGGGCTACAGACAGACCCTGTCTCAAAAAGACCAAAAATAAATAAATAAATAAAGAGGAGGCCCCTGCCCGCATGGAAAGACGACCCCACAGAATGAAACTCCTGAGGAAAGGTTCACAGGATAAGGCAGCAGTGGAAAGAGACCTCATGAATCCAGGAACACATTTGCCTTGGCAGATGTGGAAACTGAGGCCAGAATCACAGCCAGGATTTCCAAACACCCACATCCCCTCCGCTTGTCCGCATAGCCTGCTGTGGGTTGGCAAGGATAAGGGGGAACAAGTGGCCCGTGGTGCCACAGTGGGGTAGGGTGACATGACAGGCACCGGGCAGTGGCTGGCAGATTCTGCTGTGGGGTCTAGCTGTTCCCGGAAGTGGGACTTGCTCTGGAACTGCCTGGGTCCTCTGTGCCTCCTGCTGGCCTGCCTCCTGGGTTCACGTGGTTGCAAATGACAGAAAAGGCAACTCAGAGTGACCTAAGAAGGAAAGGGAGTTTGACTCTTGTCCCAGAGGAGCTGGTGAGGAAGCAATAATATTTAAAAAAATAATATTTAAAAATAAATAAATAAAAACGTGAAATAGGGGTTAAAGAGATGCTCAGCAGTTAAGAACATGTGCTGGTCTTCCAGATCTGGGTTGGTTCCCAGCACCTACATGAAGGCTCACAACCCTCTCTAACTCTAATTTCATGGGATCTGATGCCCTCTTCTAGCTTCTGAGGGTACCAGGCACACACACAGTACACAAACATACATGTGGGAAAACTCATATACATAAAATATCTTCAATAAACTCAAAAATAAAAATGTGAAGAGTAGGGTGTGGGAGGACTAACGGAGAGGAGTGTGTAGGGGAGATGTGATAAAAATACATTGTATGCATGTATGATTTCCAAAAACATTTAAAAAGACTTTATTTTTTTTACTTTATGTATATGGGTACATTGTCCACATGTATGTAAGTGTACCCATACAATGTCCATGGAGATCAGAAGAGAGCATCAGATTTTCCTGGAACTGGAGTTACAGACAGTTGTTAGCTGCCATGGGGGTATTGGGACTCTAACTCGATTCCTCTACAAGAGTAGCCAGTGCTTTTAACCACTAAGTGGTATCTCCAGCCCCCAATTTTACATTTTAGAGGTAAAGAAACCAAGTTGTGGACAGGTGCATGAAAGCCACGGCTTATAGGTTGACTCCAGGTCTACCAGCCTGTTTAAACTCTCTCTCTCTCCTTTTTTTGATATTTTATTATTTTTATTTTATGTGTATGAGTGTATTGCCTGCACATATGTGCGTTCACCCGTGTCGTGTAATGCCGCGGAGGTCAGAAGGGGGCTTCGGATTCCCCTGGAACTAGAATTAAGGACAGTTTGGAGCCTCCATGTGGGTGCTGGGAATCGAACCCAGGTCCTCTGCAAGAGCAGTCACTGCTCTTAATCGCCGAGCCATCTCTCCAGCCCTCTCTCTCACTTCTTGAGACTTCTGGAGTCCACTACACTTAGCTGGACCACAAGTCCGGTTAACCTTTCTGAACCTCAATTCTTCACCTGTAAAATAATGCAACCATGGCACATCTCCACAAGGTTTTGTTTGTTCATTTTGTTTTTCTGTTTTTGAGACAGGGTCTCATTCTGTAGCTCAGGCTGGCCTGGCTCCCTGAGGCAGTCCTCGGATTACGGGTGTGGGTCTTCAAACCTGGATTCCACAGGGATTGCTCCAAGACTAAATGAAATAATATATGTAATGTGCCAGGTACAAAGCAAGTCCTTAACAAACTCTGTTTATTACACATGGTTATTCCTTTACTCTGGAGAAAATATCCTAACTCCTTTATGTTCCTGACGAGGAAACAGAAAGCCAGAGATCGCTACAAGACCTATGTCTCTAAAGCTGCCCACCTTCCACATTCTTGACCACCCACTGTCCACGGGTCTCGCTGACCTGTGAGTTCCTGGATGGTGACCCGGTCCAGGATCTTGAAGCTCGTGTCGAGTTTCAGAGGCTGGCTGCAGCGTTGGCACACGAAGCTCACCTGCATGGTGCTGCTGGACGCCTTAGACCCCTCCATGCCTGCGGCAGTGGAGAGAAGACGCTGTCAGGAGTAGTCGGCGCCCTTGACCCTCAAGGCCCGGGACTACCATCTGCCTAAGCGGTGGTGGTGATGAGGGCGATCCTGGCCCGCGCTGTCCCTCCGGAGGTGCTGGGGTACCAGGCGGACCCGCTTCCGGGGCAGCGCCTGGCTAAGGCAGTTTGGACGTCCGGGCCGGGGAAGGGACCACCAGAGTGCCCAGGCCTCTAAGGACTCAGTTCACCCCACCGCGCTTCACCTGAGCACCCGGAAGCCCGCCACTCAGACTCGCTCTACCGCGGGGGCACCGTAGCCTCGAGTCCGACCGCGAGCGAAACCTCCAGACTGGCCATCGCCCGGTCTTCAGCTACTTCCGGGTCCGCTAGCGAAAGACTTCCGCCCACGACCGGACGTGATGCCTCCAGCGCTGCGGACGCCAGGGGGGCTGTTGCAGGTCCCCAATTTATCCGGGCCGCGGCGTCCTCTAGAGGTTGAGTAGGGAATAGCAGCAGGGGCCGGTGGGTGTGCTGAGGTTGTCAGGAAAGTGGGGAGAAGCCCATGTTCTGTTCTCATTTAGAGGATTCTCGCAAGATTTGTTACCTCCAAGCGGAGCTCCTTTAAAAAAATTTTTTTTTAGATTTAATTTTTAAGTTTATGTGTATGGGCCTGCATTTATGTAAGTGCTATACGTGCGTGCAATGCCCACAGGGGCCAGAAGAGGGTGTTGGCTCCCCTTGAAATGGAGTTACAAATGTTTTATGTAGGTGCTGGGAATCGAACCTGGTTTCTCTGGAAGAGCAGCAAATGTTCTTAACCACAGAGCCACCCCACCCCCAGCTACTTTTATTATTCCTTCAGTGTCAGTGTTTACAGTGTCTCTTTAGGAGAGTCAGATTTAATACTTCCCCTCTGAGGAAGTATGTTGGGTGGGGATAAGTTTTAGTATTTTATATTTTCAATTTTCAATCATTGATTAGGAAAATTCTAGTACTTTCAGAAGTAGGAAGTATTATAAAATTATAAAGCTAAAACATTTTGAGTTGTGACTCACTAGTAGAGTCCATTTTGTCTTGGTGCAGGAAGAAATGGGTCAATGGAACAGAAAAGAGTTTTAAAATATACCAGGATACAGAGAGATTTAGTATGTGATAAGAGTGGTATTTCAAAGCAATGGGCAATGAGTGATTTAATATATGGTGGTGGGAATCAAAGAGCCATGTAGACAACTGTGAGCAGAATCTTCTGCTCATTGTTTATACCAAAAGAAGTTGCAACTTAGTTCCAAATTTAAGCATCAAAAATGCAGTTGAGCCAGGCGTGGTGGCACATGCCTGTAGTCCCAGCACTTGGGAGGCAGAGGCAGGAGGATCTCTGTGAGTTCAAGGCCAGCCTGGTCTACATAGTGAGTTCCAGGACAGCTGGAGCTTACAGGGAGACCCTGCTTAAAAAAAAAAAAAAGACCAAATAATAATAATAATAATGATGATGATGATGATGATGATTATGATGATGATGATGATGCAGTTGAGCATGGTAGCTCATTCCTATAATCCCAGCACTTGTGAAAATGAGGAAAGAGGATCAGGAGTTTAAGGCCACCCTCTACAACACAGCAAGTTTGAGGCTAGCCTGGGATCCTGTGTTGAAAAAAACAAGCAAAAAGTGCCAACAAGATGGCTCAGTGAATAAAGGCACTTGACTCCAAGCCTTATAACCTGAATTCAGAATCCACATTGTAGGAGAGAACTGACTCCTGAAGGTTGTTATCTGACCTCTAGATGTGCACAGTGATACACCCATACACATACATGGGCACCCACACCCTTGAACACATACACATTCATGCACACATATACATATGTGTACACACATAAAGCAATCCCCACATACATGCACACACATACATGTGGACATATACAAAAAAATAGATGTAAAAAAAATAAAACAGCTGGGCGTGGTGGCACATGCCTTTAATCCCAGCATTTGAGAGGCAGAGGCAGGCAGATCTCTGTGAGTTCAAGGCCAGCCTGGTCTACATAGTGAATTCCAGGCTAGCTGAGGCTACAGGGAGACCCTGTCTCAAAAAGACAAAAATAAGTAAATAAATAGATAGATAAATCAATCAATCAATAAATAAATAATAAAACGGACTGGAGACATGGCTCAGTGGTTAAGAGCACTGACTGCTTTTGCAGAGAACCCGGGTTCGATTCCCAGCACCCACATGGTGGCTATGAACTGTCCTTAACTCCAGGTCCAGGGGAATCCGAAGCCCTCTTCTGACCTCTGTGGCATTGCATGACATGAGTTTACTCACATACATGCAGGCAATACACTCATAAAATAAAAATAATAAATAAATAAAACAGGGGTTTGAGAAATGGCTCAGCAGTTAAGAGCACTGACTGCTCTTGCAGAGGACCCAGGTTTGGTTCCCAGCACCCACATGGCAGGTAACAACCATCCTTAACTCCAGCTCCAAGGGATCTAATGCCCTCTTCTGGCCTCCACAAGCATTGCATGACACAGGAGCACTTACATAAATGCAGGCAAAACACTCATATACATAAAGTATAAATAAATAAATTTAAATTAAAAATACAATGATTGTGGCTGGGGGTGGTGCAGGTCAGTGGTAGAGTGTGTGCTTACATTGGTGGTGGGGAGATGGGCTAAGTTCAGTCTCCAGTATCACCTAAAAAGAAAGAAAAAGGTTGAAGGTACTAGATGAAAGCAAGACCGGATTATTTTATAATCTTATAGTGTGGAAAGTCTGCCTAAACATGGCATGAAAACCAGTAGCCACAAAATAAAAGCACTGCATATTATTCCTGAGAATAAAAAATTTCTTATCAAAGACAAAATTTACAGAAGAAAATGTGGCTAATAGCTTGCAGCTTATAACATAGAAGGCAGGTTTTCCTAATATACAGAGCTCCAATAAATAAAAAGACCTACCATCAGACTCACAATGAAATGGGAAAAGACTAAAAACAACTCATAGAAATGCAAAATAATAAAAAGATATTTCACTTTACTTATAATTAGGTTAATGGAATTAAACTGAGGTGAGGCAGCATCTTTCACTTCTGAGATTGATAAATATTGAACTGGTTGAAAACATCCACTGTTTTTTGTTTTGTTTGAAATTTTATTTATTTATATTTTATGTGTATAAGTGTTTTACCTGCATGGATGTAAGCACACCATAGGCATGCAGTGTCTGAAGAAGGCATCAGATCCCCTGGAGCTGGAGTTACAGATGGTTGTTAGTTGTCATATGAGAGCTGGGAACTGAACCTGGGTCCTCTGCAAGAGCAGCTACCGCTTTTAACTGCTGAGCCATCTCTCCAGCCCCTGAAAACATTCACTGTTGATGAGAGTTTGAGGAACTCTTGAATACTACTGATTAGGACTGTAAATAGGTACAATCTTTTTGGAAATCAGTTTGGGAATATTTACTACAATTTTATTCATAATCTTAAAATTTTGGGGAAGCAGTTTTTAAAGATTTACTTTTTAATCATGTGTACATAAAACAGTATGTGCACATGAGTGTAGGTGCCAGCAGAGGCCAGAAGAGAACATTGGATCCCTTGGAACTGAAGTTACATATGGTTGTGAGTCACCTGATACAGGTGTTGGGAACCTAACTGTGGTCCTCCAGCAAGAGCAGTAAGGGCTCTTAACTGCTGAGCCACCTTTCCAGTCCTTTAGTCATAATCTTTGACCATTAAAAAAATCTCTTTCAGCAGGGCATGGTGCCACGTGCCTTTAATCCCCACACTTGGGAGGCAGAGGCAGGCAGGTCTCTGTGAGCTCAAGGCCAGCTTGGTCTACATAGTGAGTTCCCGGCCAGCTGGGGATACAGGGAGACCCTGTCTCAAAAAGACCAAAAAAAAGCTCTTTCTAGAAAAAATTTTAATAGACAATTGCCAAAATATGTCTAGCCATCCCTCATTGTCACAGGGGATTGGTTTCAGCGCCTGCCATGGGTACCCAAATACATGAATGCTGAAGTTCCTTAAATAAAATTTGTATATAGTCTAAACACATTTTCCTGTATATTTTAAATCATCTCTAGATTACTACTAACACCTCTGAATACAATGTAAGCTCTATGTAGACATTTATTGGATTAACTCGTTTTGGGATTAATGACAAGGAAAAAGTCTGTTCATGTTCAGCACAGGTGCAATTAGGTATTATTTACAATCCATGGTTGAATGTGGGAACTGAGTGGCCACTGATACATATAAACTTTTACTAGTAAATGTTAGTAATGAGGTTAAGTAAATTGTGGGATTGCTTTTTTAGTGGAAACTATGCAACTATTAAAGAGAGTGAAGTAAACATGAAATAAGCTATGAAATATTATTTGTGCATTCAATGAAATTTTTGAGGGCTTGCCAAAGACTGTTGTAGGCATTGGATATACAGCAACAATAAAAAGACAACTATCAATACCTCTGTAACTTTATTTTAGCAGTAAAAAAAGGATAATACATAAGGTAAATAAGTATGTATATATAATGAACATAATGATAACTATTTTTTCTTATTGTAATGGGGCTTTATACATGTTTAGGGAAGTGCTCTACCACTGAGCTTTATCTCTGACCCTATAAGAACTCTGCAGGAGGAAAAGTGAAAAAAGAGTCTTTAAACATTTGTACAATAGGGGAAGGTGTAGTTTTAGGTTTCCAGGGAAAGGTCTCATAAAGAAAGATATTTGAATAAAGACTTGAACGTGATAAGGAAGAAATTCTCACACACATCTGAAGGGAGAGGGTTCCAGGCTAAGGGACCAGCAAGACCAAAGACCCTAAGGACAGAGGGTGCCCAATTGAGCAATAACAAAAACTGTGAGGCCAGAGAATGACTGTAGTGGTTAATATCAGTTGTCTGCTTGGCAGAATCCAGAGTCCTTGGAATACAAAGCTCTGGGCATGTCTGTGGGAGTTTCTAGACTGGGTTAACTGACTTGGGAAGACTCACTCTGAAGATGAGCAGCTCTACTCCATGGGCTGGGCCTCAAACTGAATGAAAAGGAGAAAGGGAGCTCAGTATTCATTGCCCTCCACTTCCTGACTGCCAATGCAATGAGATCAGCTGCCTCAGGGTCCTGCTGCCATGACTCCCTCATCATGATGAATTGTACCCTCAAACCGTGAGCAAAATAAACCGTTCCTTAAATTGCTTTTGCCTGATATTTTGTAAGAGCATTATGAAAAGTAACTAATATAATGAGCAAGAGGAAAAGAGATAGGGTACAGAAGAAGACAGGTGAGGGTGACAGCTTGGTGTTCACCTCTTCTGCCTTGTAGCAATTGAAGTGTTTTGATCTTTACTTTGAATGAGATGGGAAGCCTGGACTCTGGGTAGAGGGAGTTACTTTGTTTTTTGTTGTTGTT